TTTTTTTTTTTTTTTTTTTTTTTTTTTTTTTGCTATTGGTAGGTAGCAGAAGAGGTTTAAGTGTTCCAAAACCATAACCTACTTAACTTGAGAAAATTAAGTAGAGAAAAAAATGGCATTTTTCACGTAACCCATCTCAGCCTCGCTGCCACCAGGACTGAGGTGTTGTCGGCCCCGTTCCTGGGGCGCCTTAATGTGTGAGGTTGGTTGTGTATGAGTAGAACCACAGGTGAGCTTAGTACAGAGTTACTGCCTCTCACCTCTTTTGCCCTGACCATGTGCCTTTTTCAGGAGGCAACAGCATGTGGCTCTATGACGGGTCAGCAATTTTGGCGAGACAGTTATTTTAAAACTAAGTGGACGGTTAGGAAGATTTTAGAACCCAAGTCGTACCAGAGGTGGAGTATAAAGACAAATACCCCATGAAGAGAGAGGGTTTATAATGTTAAAAACGTTGAGAAGAAAGGAAATAGGCCTTGAGTGATGCAGGTAATTTTGCGCTGATTCCCTGTTTTGAGTTTGTTTTGTTTTTGATAAACTCTAACCTCCTTTTTTTTCCCCCTAACCCTGAAAGCCACAAGTAAAATAAATATGGTATTTGGTGAGTCCCATTAATGTGCTCAGCATTATACAAAAACCACCACACTGGACCCTTTCCCTGCCCACCCAGCGAACAGCAGTTTGTTCTCAAACACATTTAAAAGCCTTGGCTGAGGATTCCAGTAAACAGAACACACACATACAAAATGTATATACTCATAATGACAAGAGGGGAAAAATGTGTTTTGTTGTGTTTCTGGTGGCCATTGAGCTGACTTGGAAAAGCAAGTCCAATCATCATTAAGAGAAAATAGTTTATTTCCTAGAACATCAGAGCAATTTAGGCTTTCTCTACCACTTCGTAGAATCCAAGGGTTTTTTTCTCTATTTTTTTAAATGAGTTCCTTCTATCTTCCAGTACATTTTAGCCCTGTATGAGAGCTTTTAAAGCTTACTCTGAAATAATTGATACCGAAACACTTGTTTGGTTCCAACTCTATAGAATAACAGCCCAGGATTGAGGAAAATTTCTGTAGCTTTTTGGGGTTGGAAGTTTGAGAACTTGGACAGGGCATAGACTTCTGCTTTGGATACTATTGAAAGCTTTGAGGAAAAATTCTTTTTAAGATTTGGCTAGCTAGCTGTAAAAGATAATATATCTGGCTTTCTGGCTTCCTGTGTGCTTGTTTCTCTACAACATGTCCCTTTAAAGAAAAGCCAGTTGTCAAAATCTTAACTGGGATCTGAGATTTATAGGGCTTATGTATAGGGCATTAGATAATTTCTTACATCATTTTACACTTGATAAAATCCTAGAATTTTGCATCTAGCTTTGGACCCGGCAGTATTCTCTTTAAACACCTTTGGCGATTTGAACTAGACTAGACTTTATTAAAAATCAATAAACGTGTAGAGCAGACTCCGTTTGTCTTGTTGAGCTTTATGTATCAAGACTTTTTCTATCTGGTAGTAGATAGAAATTTATTTTTGATCCCTTAATTTTCAAAATAATTTTTTTTAAATCCGATAAATATGCAGTTTGGTTTTGCTTTTGCTTTTAGCCAGGTCATTGAGCATTTTTCAGGCTGATCACAAATCCTTTCTTAAAGGTGTTTTATTATGTTGAAGCAGGAATGGTAAATAGCAATCTTTCCTTAAATTGATTTGAACTTTCTTGTACTTAACACTAGAAAAGCAAAAAAGTTGACATTGTTGCAATATTGACTGAAAAGATATTTGGCAAATGTTGGGCAGCAGTCATGTACAGTTGGTTCTTTACAAGCTAATACAAATCTTCACCTCACTTTCCTTTTAAAGTGCTTAGTGGGGCACCCGGCTGGCTCAGTGGGAAGAGCATGTGACTCTTGATCTCAGGGCCATGAGTTTGAGCCCCTCGTTGGGTGTAGAGATTAAAAACCAAAAAACCTTAAAAAAAAAAAAAGTGCTTAGTAATCTTGCCCAAATATTAGGGTCATGAAGAAAATTGTTTCCTCCAGTTGGCCCACAGAAAGGCTACTGTGTCAGTTTAGGGTGGCAGCCTCAAGCTTTCAGATGGGCATTAAGATAATCTACATTATGACTCGGGCAAAGTACAGAATCAGAATATTCTTAAACCGTTCAACCACGTCTGGAGTCTGTTATTCTAAATCAAATCTAATATAACAAACCTATTTCAGCCTTCGGAGAGTCTTTGGTGATAGTTTTAAAAGGAAAGCACAGTGACTTCCTAGTAAAATGCTGCTAAATTTGGCATGCGCTTTTGAGCTGTTTTTCCAGTAGTTTTTAAATTTCCCTCATAAACGCTTGTGTTTTTGTGCAGTCTGTTTCCCCATGGCATTTTTGTTGTTGGGTGGATCGTTTGATAGGGTAGAGGTTCTTTTCAGAGTTGCTTTCATAGGTTTTTGTGGGTTCGTATGAATTTGTGCTTCAAGGACAGAATTCAGTGTTGGTGATGAGGCAAGACAGTGGGCACAGATGTACTGCAAGGTGACGCGAATTGCAGCGTTCTGGAGGACTTTGCTATTATATGGCAAAATATGTTCGTGAATTAGTTACTTCTGATAGTGAACAGTCGTAAAGACTCTTCGATGTTTTACCCAGGGACATTGCTAAAGTAAATCATGGTATAATTTCTGAAAGAGAATAGTAAGTAGCCATGAAAGGCCATGTTTTTAAAGGATGTATATGTATATGCATATATTTACTTCTGTTGTTGGTTCAAAGCAGCAGAAATGCATTCTCTCACTGTTCTGGAGGCCAGAGATCTGGAATCAATGTGTCCGTGTTGCCACATTCCCTCTGAAGGCTGTATGGGAGAATCTCACTTTTTCTTCCCAGCTTCTGACATCGTTTTAATTGAGGGCATAATTGTCAATGTTAGGACATTAAACAAACAGATTTAAACGTTCTATGTGATGCCAATTCTTTAAAAAAACAAAACAAAAACCCCAAATAGGTAAAAAAAAAAAACCCAAATATTAATAAAAATTATTAGATTTTTACTTTCTAATGCTTTTCTCTGCTTTCTAGATTTTCTAAAATGAACATGTGAACAAAATTGAAAAAAAAAACCCATCCAACTGTCTTTTTCTCTGAGTATTCCGTGGAATTTCTTTTGCTGTATCTGTCA